TGGCGGCGGGTCTCCCTCCTGACACCAGGTGGCGGCGGGTCTCCCTCCTGACACCACGTGTCAGCGGCTGTCCATCCTGACACCAGGTGGCGGCGGGTCTCCATCCTGACACCAGGTGGCGGCGGGTCTCCCTCCTGACACCAGGTGGCGGTGGCTGTCCATCCTGACACCAGGTGGTGGCGGATGTCCATCCTGAAAGGAAAAAAATAGAAAAACTGTTTGAAAATATATAATTTTTACTTTCTGCAGGTGAAAAACTTTATTTAAAGTAGTTTTGATTGATTTGACTGAAAACCCTGATTGGTAGTTTTAAATTACAGCAGATTCATTCAAAGTGATTTCAGGCAAACTTTAGAAATGAATGTACAAAAGACAGAAACTGGATACCATAAAAAAATCTTAGCATTTATTTTCTTAGATATTGACAAACCCTATCAAATATGTCAGTGATAAAAGTCATTTCACCAAAAGTAATTTTAAAAAATCAGTGCCTGAAGTAATCACGAGCTGTTATGAAACATGCACGTATCACAGTTTAATCTCTTCATAAGAAATCTGACTACTAAACCACAGAGTAGCTTATTCACTATGACTAAAGCTAAAGCTGCACGTTATGCACACAGGTTGGGGAGGGAGCGTCATCCTGCACCTTTAGGAGGGACACAGTGGACAGGGTGACTTAAGAACCTCAGATATAAAACCTGACAGGAGGATTCTGCTGCTACATTCACAATGGCTTCGTGGAAACCGCTGCAGGTTCTGGCTCTGCTGAGCCTCCTCTTTGCAGGTAAGTCTTTCTTTTGTTTAGAAACATTGAAAAAAGGATAAAGTTTAACTAAAACCTGCGATGCAATGCTTTGCATGGTTTGGTTGTTTAGAAAGAAAAATTATTCAAAACTAGCTGTGAAATCTAGTTTAATATGCACACAACTGAGTGTATGAGTCTTTTAAAATAAACGTTTTGGTTAAATATCAGACTAAAATATATTTTTTGCGCCTATTTTATTCAACATGTTTGATTTATTATTCGAAATAACCAAAATCTATAACTTTAAGAAACTTGAGATATGCACAGTACTGTTTTTACATATTATTACTATAGAAAATAACAGATTTTTTAATGTCTTTGATGTGTTTTCTCTCCTTGTCAGAATCACACGCACAGCTTGGCGGTATGTAGACAATTAAATCTGATTTTCTTTAAAGAATGTTAGAAATAAAATAAATTGACCCGATTTCTCTTTCAGAGTGCGGCATCGCTCCTCTAAATCCCAAAATAGTTGGCGGTCAGGATGCAACCCCTGGAAGTTGGCCTTGGCAGGTCAGCCTGCAGAGGACTGGACTCGGACATCTGTGTGGCGGCTCCCTGATCACCAAGAACTGGGTGCTGACCGCAGCTCACTGCGTCAGTCGGTTAGTAGAAAAATTATTTGTCTTTGAGAGCAAACATTACTTTACAAATGATTTACAATAGAGTTGCTGACATTCCGGAAATATTTGACTGGAAATGTTGCTTACATTGTAAAACATTTGAGCTCCATTTAGTTGTGTCTGCTATGTTCTAGTGAGTTTTAGATTTTGAACCTAAATGTGTGAGTTTGTGAAAGATAAACTTACAGCAGAAGTTCTGTTCACACTAAATGTTTCTGAGCTGAATTCATTGAGATGTTTAATAAAATTCATCATCAGATCAGAAATTTGGTTCATGCAATTTGAATTAAATTATTCTGAAGTGAAATAAGTAGTTATTATAACTTGATATTATGAGTAAAATAATAGAGAAATGTTCCTCTTTAAATGGGTGAGGACAGATTTTTTTTCTTGCATATTGTGAAATAATTATTTGGTTTATATTACAGCATTAAGTTAAAACTCACAATTCAAGATTAATTAACTTAAAAACAATGTTTAGACAACTTGTCTCTTGTTGTTAAATCAACTTCATGAACTTTAATTTCTGAGTTAAAACCAAAACTATTTTCTTGTTGACTTAAATTCCATTTTTCAAGGCAGCAGGTGGACTTTCATCTTCAAGTTAAACCATCTTCAAATGTTTAACAGAGTTGTTGCTCAAAATGTCACATAGTTGCCCAATTTTAGAAAGAAAACACAACAAAGCAGTAGGGAAATCTAAATTAAATTATAAAAAATGCAAAGACTAATTCAAGAAGGAAGCTCCATGTTCTTGAATGAAACCTTCTTCTTTTCTGCAGGTCCAGACCATCGGCATTTCAAGTTTTTCTCGGTCTGAATCAGCTGCAGGGTGGCAACACAAACACCCAAGTAAATGTGGGAATTGCTAAAATCTTTGTGCATCCTCGATATGACAGCAGTACCTCCAACAACGACATTGCGTTGCTCAGACTCTCCTCACCAGTGCAGTTCACAGACTATATCAGACCAGTGTGTTTGGCAGCGAGTGGCAGCCGGTTCAACAACGGCACCGATAGCTGGGTGACCGGCTGGGGAAACGTAGGAGAAGGAGGTGAGATTCGCGTGAATACTGTGTGGTTTTGTTCTGATTTGTTTGGGTCCCTGCCCAGAGTGGCATGGCCAGAGGGGCGGCACGAACTCTTAAAAAATGGGGATTAAAGAGCACAGCTGTGCCTTAGATTAAACCTGCAGGTACTTGAGACCCCTTCTGAAAACGCTTACAATTTCCAGAGGTGGTAAAGTGCCCAGAAATTGTTCTCAAGTAAGAGTAGCACTACTTTGTCTGTTAGAAATAATTAATTACATCAAGTTTTTATTAATTTAAAATACATTTTTCTGAGAGTTTGGACTAAAACCTGGATTCTGATAACAGATGTTTTCAGATGTTGATGCCTTGTGTTGCGTTGGTTGTTTGGTAAAAGTTGATCAATGTGGGCGCCTCCTCTTTTTGCTCCAGTACCTTTACCCCCTCCTCAAACTCTCCAGGAAGTGGAGGTGCCAGTTATAGGAAACAGGCAGTGCAGCTGTTTCTATGGAAACATTTTAATCACCAACAACATGATCTGCTCTGCTGTTCTGTCCGGAGGAAAAGACTCATGTCAGGTAAACTCCTTGGTCCGATTTAACTTCAGGATGATAAACATGACCGTTAACGAGTTTTTACATTTCGAACTCGTCCTTCCTGTCGCTGCAGGGTGACTCAGGAGGTCCGATGGTCAGCAAGCAGCGCTCACGCTGGGTCCAGTCTGGGGTTGTTAGTTTTGGCAGAGGCTGCGCTCGGCCCAATCTGCCTGGCGTCTACACCAGAGTGTCCCAGTACCAGTCCTGGATAAACTCCGTCATCCCAGACAATAAACCAGGATTTGTACGGTTCACTTCCAGTGGAGTGGATCCTGACAGCAGCTTCATCTGCCAACGGCGGCCATTTTTACCCAAATAACAAGAACAACACTGAAACCAACAACTCCTGTGAAAAGGGGTTGGTTCAGATGTTAAATTACAAAGTTAAGTAACATAATTCACTGCAAAACCACAAAATCTTATGAAGTATTTTTGTCTAGTTTTTAGTGCAAATATTATTCCTTAATATTGATGAAGTACATGTTCCATGTTATATGTAAATTTATCTGCCAATGGATCTAGTATGTTTTCGTCAATATTAAGGAATTATTTACTTACATACTGCTGAAAAGTTACTTGTAAGTTAGTTTTGTTTTATTTCTATTTGACCAGAAATACTTGGTAAGCTTTGCTATTTTTTTTGCAGTGTTCTTAATGTTGGTGGAAAACTGTTTTCTTTAGTCCTTCTGTAATTTTGCTAATGTTCCTGTTTCTGTGAATCATTTATAGTGATTTTAATCATTTAATAAAGTCATTCTAGCATCACACCACTGCTTTTGTCCTTATTTAACACACACAGCATCAAATTTTAACAAATCAACAGACTGACACCAATATGGATGATATTATTGATGTAAAGAATACAAACAGAAACCAATGATGAGCATTACTGATTGATTTAAATGGGAGTTTGATTTTTTTTTTAATTTTGAGAGATCAGTGATCAGCTGACATTTACATGTGAATCTAATCTTATCCACTGATCTTATTTATCTCAGAAAATGTCTAAAAATCATCCACTGTCCTCCTCTGCTGTGCAGTGAGAGGTTTGACTGACAGACCGGGCCACCAGGTCACTTCTGTCGCCCCACTGTTACCAACTCAGAGACTTTCTTGCTATATTTAGCAACATTTCAGACAAAAAAAGTGGTATCAGCTAGAATCGGAATCAGCAGGTCAGACTTGTTAAATATTTATAATCTGTGATCGGCCAGAAAACTGCAATCGGTGCAGCACAAGTATTTTAGTCAGGAGTGGAA